GGTCACATTGCTGGGGCCACGGATGTCAGTCCCACCGGCATGGAGAAGTGTTCCAGCCTCACCCACGTCCCTCACGGCACGGAGGACACAGAGCGACAGAGGCTCCATCCTGTACTGGGTCCCCCACTCCACCTTCCTAAATAAGCCAGATTGCCTGCTGACCACGGTCGTGGGAGGAGGGGACAGTGTGGCTCCACCATCACCCAGGCCTAGGGCTGGACATGCCAGAGAGAACACCAGCCTTGCTGGGACGAGCATACAGCCTGGTGACCAGGGCTGAGCTGGATTATTTCAAAAATTACCTGCAAATCTAAGTATTATTACTCTGTTTCCTAAAACTCAGTCCTCTGCATCCCATCTTCACAAGTTTTACCATCTCCACCTACCAGGCACCTGCACTCAGAGTGACTTAATATTTTCTTCAAATAGGCTCACTTTTTAATAAACATATTTAAATAAGAAAAGTATGGCATGCGACTAAACGGAAAGCCAGTGTTGCTTGCCTTACACAGAAGAGAAACATGTAAAATATACTGAAATACATGCATTACTGGTAAACGATTGTCCATGTGCCACCAAAATCATCTTTGGTAGCAGTTGTGCCACACCCTGGAAAGCACTCTAACAGATTTAAAGACTGCATTAAAACCAAAGCTTGAAAAGCTGATATGTTTGCGAAAGAGAGAAAGAAGGTGGTCTGGACTGAAATCCTGAAGTGGTTTGGACATGAAGAGACCCACGCAATGGACCGTACCTTGCCCGGAAGAATGAGCCCTCTTCTACCACAGACAACTGATTGCTGCAACCAGAAGGTGAGTGCCCAGCGCCTGCTGTCTTTCTGGAGGACACAGGGGCGCGGCAGATACTGCTCCCCACTTACCATTCCTGGAGACAAACTGGGAGGTGACTCCTGCCTCAAATGTGGCAAAAACAGGGCTGTGGTCACTTGTCATGATGTCACTGGTGCTGCCTACAGGGGAGGGAAGGCATTTCTGAGCAGGGGAGAAGAAACCTTTCTCATCAAGCCAGGCAAACCCAGGGCAGAAATCAACTTACCCTTCTGGAAGCATCCAGACATTTCATAATTTTGTACCTGCTGTCTCACTGACCTTCCACAACCAAGCTAAAAAATCTCACCAAAAGTGGGTGACACTGTCTCCCCTATGACTAAAACGTGCCTGTGTAGTTTTCCTAAAGACTTGTGAGTTTTTAAATAGTGGAGTGTGAACTGTAGATAATTTTCTGGTCTAAGCACTTTGCTGTATTGATGAGTTCATGGTCTGGAGTGGGATGGGGATTGGAGGTCAATGTGCTGTCAGTGAGAGAGATGGCAACATCTCCCATCCCACAATGCCTTGCAGGATTACAAGAGAATGGAGGTGATGAAGTATACACACACTGAGTGTAGACAACTTTTTAAAGGAGCTTGGACAAGACGCAAGGTAGCTGAGCACCTCTGGAGGGTAAGAGAAAGAGTACAGTTTTAGAAATAGAGTTCTAAGTGCTTTCGATATAGCTACATGGAGATGTCTGGCTGGGTGCTCAGGGTTGGAGATTCATCTTTAATTTGGAGTCAGGAGGTTGGGTGGAAGCAGAAGCCTTGAAGATGTTTGGATTCCACAGCAAAGACACAAAGGATGAGAAGAGATGATGAATAGGGCACACCAACCAGTCATGGGCAAGGAAGAAACAGCAAGTGAGACCAAGAAGGCTTGTACGAGTCAGCAAGAAGACAGATATCCCACCCTCAACCAACCCAAGGATGTGGGCAGAAAATTCCAGAATACAGATGGCTAATAAACATGAAAAAAGGCTCAGTTACTAACAACCATCAGAAAGACAATGTGAAACAATGATGAGATGGAATGGACAACGAGAATGATGAGAAGGAGGGAAGTGGGGAGTCTGGTCCTGGGGGAGGAGGGAGTGGAGTAAGGGTCCGGGTGAACCTGTTACCCAGGAAAGGAAGATTAGGACACCCCTCTGAGATGGCAGAAGTTAAGAGGGGTAGCAGCCTAAGACACATGTGGACGCAGGCAGGAAGAGGTCCGTGAGGCCCCAATACTGTGTTAGGCAGGAGAGGATGGGAGGAGGGGAGTCAGGGTGCGTATGGGGCTGCTAGTCTGTGGGGAGTGTTCCAGGGAGAACACTGCCACTTAAAGGGTGGGCAAGCAGGGGTATTTTTTTAAGTGCTCTTACAAATATTTTAGATATGTGTTGAACATAACAGTACTAGCACTACCCTAACTGAGCCCTGAAACGTGGGAGGTGGACTGTTACCTGGGTGGCCTCTCTGGGACCACACCGTGTGCCTCCCCATCTCAGGGCTGGGCTTGGTCATGTGACTTCCTTTAGCCAATAGGACATTAGCAAGTGTGAGGTGAGCTGACTTAAAAAGCACTTCCCATCTGGGACTTGCAGCTGGGAAGCCTGGGGCCAGGAAGGAGCCCCAGCTAGCCTGCTGAGTGATCCACAGCTGAGCTCTCACCACTGCCCCTGCTGACAACAAGCCGACCACGGATCTGGGTGGGCTTCTGGCCTGTGCGTCCAAACACCAAACAGAGCGGAGAAGAACAGCCCAAGTTCAGCTCAGAAAATACTAAACTGCCAAGATTTAGGGCAGTTTGTTACCCAGCAATAAACTGATACATCCTACTTATGCCAATCAACATCAGACTCATGCTCCCAGTTTACTCCCGTTTCCTCAGCTCTGCATAGTCATTCCCTTTTCTTTCCCAGATTCCTGCCCACCCACAACACAGCAAACCCTTCTCCTGCGCTCTCTGATACTCAGTGAAATACCATTAGCCAAGTTCCCTACACCCTCAACTGTCTCTCCACAGTCCAACCCGGCCCTCCCTGGAAGACTGCTGTCTCTCAGTGGTGGGCTTTCCTTCCCCCCTCATGCAGGGGCCAGGAGAGGAGGAAGGTGTGCCCTTTTTACTCTCCAGTGCTACTTCCAGACCAACCTCCCTCTTTTTCCTAAAAAACCTCCATCCTGGGACTGTTTTGAGTGCCAAGTTTCAGTTCCAAAAGCGGTCATGCTGCAAGCCACCACTTTCCCCTGGATCTCTGCAAAGGCTGGCTAAGGAAGGCAGATGGCAGAATCTTCCTAGAGTCAGGAATTGGCAGGCCTCGTGGAGTTGCAGGGTGTGGGGCAGGGAAGCACTGCCAAGAGATGGTGACTGACGGCAGCGTCCAGGCCAGGAAGTGGGTGTTGGCATGGAGAACTCAGGAGGGGAGGAAGATGAGGAGACTGAGGGTGAAGGTGGGATGTGGGGCTTTGTAGGTTTGGAAGGCAGGACAATTCCTTGGCTGGGCTGCCGGGACAGGTCGCCTGTCCACACATCTAAAGGCTTGTGAAGTGGCCTCTGGAAGCTGAGCTCTGGTGCTCGGGAAGGGCAGGGTACGGGCCTTAAACTGTCCCAGGAGAGCTGCTCTGGTCCCTTTGGGCAGCAGGAGGCATGCACAAAAGAAATAGAAACCGGTTCAACCTCATGGGGCCCGAGTTAAACGTGGAGACTTGCTGGTCCCCAGAGAGGGTGGGTGCCCCCAAAAGTGGGCACTGGGCAACAGTAAGAACCCCCACTGAGGGGTGGGGCAGGGGGCTGGAGCCCTCAGCTGTGCGACAGGCCTGGGATCATAAGTGGCCCACTGGGGTTCCCAGTCTATGACTTGGTCACATGAGGCACATGGTGGGGACAAGAATGGCCCTCCTTTGGATGTCACTGTCTGGGAATCTGCAGTGCTTTAGATGTGACACCACAATTCCTAGTCAAGTGTTCAAAGTAATTCTGCTCCATGAATTTTAAAGTACATAAAGCAGAGCAGTTGCAAATAATGGGTACTAACTAGTATAGTTTAAGAATAAGCACTCTGCTTTTAAGAATTCCTTCAGCATATCTTAAACTTTTAGAGTCAGTAACTATTTAATTGTTTTGATAACTTCTGTTATTATTTAACATTACATATTATATCTTTTACATCAATTTAACTCAGTTTATCTTAAAATCTCTCCAAATACACGTGTGCAAAATTTTGACATGTATTAGGGTAAACTATATGAATTCCTAGCATTTGTCTATTTTTGACTTACAAAAATACCATTTTCATAGGGTTCAAACCTAATACGCATTTTTCAAAAGGAATAAATCTGGATTTCTTTTTAAAAGTGCTCCATCAATCAAACGTTTCCCAAACCCCAAGGTATTCATTAGGTTGCAGCCCAAGATGGGAGAGGACACACCAACTCTCAGGTCACCTCGACAAAGTGGCAGGGGCTGCTCCCGTTTTGCAGATGGACAGACCACAGCCCCGTAGTTGCAGGCAGCTGAACCTCCCGGCCTGCCACTCACCGTAGGACTGACACACCACGTGCACCAGGGGGTACGACTTCCAGAGAACTCGGTCACACCAGGACGGCAAGTTGTACTTCATCTGCGAGTCAAAGTCACAAGCCTTGTAAAATGCCCGCTACTTTAAAATACACAGCGGGAAACGATGAACTCTGTGGCCTCTGTAAGCCCTGACTTCATCTGCTATGGGTTCTTTCCAGAATTTCCCCACAGGGAACATACCTCAAACCCCAGCTCCGCTGCCGTGACCCACACTTGCAGGCGCCCTGGACTCGTGCTCTAGGATGAGATCAATTTCCCTGGCTGCGCCTCCATCCCTAACCTCCTCACTGTTTCACAGCCTCTGAGGTTTTACATTCTCTCACTCTTGTACTGACTCATATGCACCCTACTGCCTGGATTTTCAGTGCAGTCTCTGCTTATCTTCTCTAGCTACTTGCTTTAATAACACACTCCAGCCACTCTTCCCCCAACCCATCACAAATCCAGCCACCTAGCTACTTATCCATCCATCCATGGGGGGATGACCCTTAAACAGCATGGGGGGTAGGGATGCTGACCCCCCCACTCGGTTGAAAGTCAACATATAACTTTATGACTCCCTCAAAACTTAATTACTAATAGTCTGCTGTTGACCCGGAAGCCTTACCAATAACATAAATGCTCGATTAACAAACACATCGTTTGTATGCTAGATGTATTATATACTATATTCTTCAATAAAGTAAGCTAGAGAAAAGGAAATGTTTTCTCAAATTGCTGCAAATCTCAAAAAATTTTTCTGATACAATTTATTATTATGTTATATTAGAAAAAACCCTCCATATAAGCGGGCCTGTGAAGTTCAAACCTGTGTTGTTCAAGGGTCAACTGTACTTATTTATCCACCAACCCATCCACTCACACATCCATCTATCCACCCAGGCATCTACCCACTCACATATCCATCCATCTACCCAGCCACCTACTCACATATCCATCCATCTACCCAGCCACCCACTCACACATCCATCCATCCACCCATCCATCCACCTGCTCACATATCCATCCACCCAGCCACCCACTGACAAATCCATCCATCCATCCATCCACCCATCCATCCACCTGCTCACATATCCATCCACCCAGCCACCCACTGACAAATCCATCCATCCACCCAGCCACCTACTCACACATCCATCCATCCACCCATCCACCCACCCATTCACCCACAGATTTACTTGTTCCTCCACCTACCCACCCATTTTCCATCCACCCACCATCCAATCATTCAAACATGTGCTATGACACGCCCTCTCCAGGCTACCCTGGTGAGCAAGACATCCCCTGGTGTGACACACAAGGCCAACCGGCAATAACAAACCCCCTTCATCAGTACCCTAACCCCTATGTTCCAGCTCTGCCTCCACTGCCTACAGACGGGAAGTTGCTCATGCTGAAAGAGCCTACCTCTGCCATCTCCTTCGATACTTATCTTTTCTTTCAAGAATGTTCTATTTTCACTACTTCTACTTCTAAGGACCACATTTACTTTTTTTAAACTTGAGGTATAACTTACAGTAAAGTGAACTCATGTTAAGCGTATATAGCTTGAGGAAGTTTTGCATTTGTATATTATTTCCATTCCCATTTGTATATATCCATATATACCCAGATCAAGATATAGAAGATTTCCATCATCCCAAAAGGTTCCCTCATCTCCTTCCTTGCCAATACTACATTATTTTTTTGTCTGGCTTCTTTCACCTATGTTGTTGCTTGTAGAAGTTCTCTCATTTCATTGCTGTGGTTGTGCTCCATTGTATGTATACGCCACATTTATCTAGTCTACTGTTGATGGCAGTAGGGTCATTCCCAGTCTTTGGACATTGTGAACCAAGCTGCTATAAACACTCTTGTATCTGTCTTTTGGTGAACAAATAAATGTACTAATTTCTCTTGGGCATATGCCAAAGTGGATTACTGAATCATAGGGTAGGTGTGTGGTTAGTTTCAGAGATGCAGCCAAATTGTTACTTCTCCACACTGCAGTTCGCAGCCTTGGCCACGCCTGAGAAGTACCCAAGGAGTTTTACAAAGATATAGAAAGCAGGGCCTTACCCCAGATCTAGCGCATCAGCATGTCTTCAGATGAGGCCTACACCTCCGTATTTCTGAAAAGCTTCACCTGTGATTCACCTGCACACTCTTGGTGAAGAGCCACCTTTACGCTCTTCCAGTTTGGATCTCACCACCAAGACTCGACTCAAACTGTTCTTAAAATCTGCCCAAACTTCTTGCCACGAGTCCAGCTCCTCACGCAGGTTTGTGTGAAATGGCACACATTCGCCTTGGCTCACATTCCACACTGGTGACCACTGACCTTTGAAGGTCTCGCCCCTTGGCTTCTGGGATGCTGAGCTGCCTGGTTGGTTCTCCAGCCACCTACCCGAGCGCTCTTTTCCTGTCTCCCCTTGTCTCTGGTCTTCCTCTCACCTCTGAATGTAGACGGCCCCCAGGTCTGCCCATAGATCTGCCCATCTTCCACTCATGCCTTGACAATCTCACCTGCCCCCATGGATTTGACCATCTTCTCAGTGTGGACAACTCCAAGTCTATGCCCCAGCCCTGGTATCTCTTTACCATCAGTCTAGTAGTTTTAACTGCCTTCTGGGTGTTTCCTCTGAATTTTTCCTAATATTATACAGTAAGTCTGAAAACAAGCTCTTTTCCTTCTGCAAGCCAGCTCTGCCTTCTGATTTTCCAGTTTTTATCAATGGCAATCAGCTCCATCAATATATCCTGTTTTTCCCCCTTTCTTTCATTTCCATTGTGTTTTCCCTGACTCAGGTTGGGTTCCTTCTCAACTGGCACCACACTGGCCTCCTCATCAGTCCTGTGTGCCATCCTCTTCCCTTTCCCTCATGCAGAACAGTCTTCTTTGAATGTGGCTGTGACACTGCAGCCCCTCAGCAGAGCTCTCAGTGGCTTCCTGAGCTCTCCCTCTTTCCCGCCACAGGCCCTGGTCTATTCCTCCTGATACGCAGGTTAAACAGGACAATCCCCTCACCACCCCTGTCCCCACAGACTTGTCCCAACAGCGCCTTTAAAGAGATGAGCCCCCACACAGCAGCCAGTGGGCACTGCGGGGAAGGGTCCTGCCCTGCGGTGTGTAGCCCCATTCACGGCGATGGATCCTGGATCTCCTCGCCTGCTCTCCCTAGCACATGGCTTTTTCCTCCCACATCCAGGTCTCTACTTGCTCCTGAGCTCAAGAAGGCCCAGATGTTTTCAGGGAACATTTTGAGTAGCTCTCCATTTCCTGGGCCTCTAGCAGCCCCATAAATCACCACACCGGCACCTCCAACCCTCAGGACCCTGCTGTGGGGCTTCCTTCCCCAGGTTGGGCCCCAGAATGTGATGGATGCCAGAATTTCCTGCCTCGGCACCTGCCCCACCAAGTCTCTCAATCTGAAATGGACCAGCCCCCTTCACCCTTTGTCCTGTCTGCTTGTTAAAACCCAAGGCCTTCTTCAAGGTGCCACAGATGGGCCCTCTTTAGATCCTTCCCTGCCCCAAATAGTCATTTCCTTCTCTGACCACTTATTGCATTTAGCATCATCATATTCTATCTCTGCTTAGTTAGTGGCATGTTTTGTCTTGTCTTTCCTACCGTCCACTCCTTGGGAACAGACATCTGACCTGTCTGTGATCTCCTACCACCTAACAGAGTGTTCAGTCCACCACAGGTCATCAGTAAATATTCCCTGAACAAGAATGAATGAATGCTTTATTGCAGCTTTCCCCCAAACACCATTTTTTGGAACACAAAGTAGCCTCATAAGATATTAACTGGTAATCCATGACCACCTGTGTTCAGCACACAAATTTCCCCATAGAGAACCATAATGCTCATAAACCTGTAAAGGCTCTGATAATTCCTGCAGGGAAGAAACTCATTTAATAATGATGCACTTGGCAGATAAGGAAGTCATTCGATCATGGAACTTAAAAAAAAAAAAAGAGCTTCAGAATCTAGTTAAGAAAACAACACTCTGAATTCTTTCAGAGTTTCAGAATATGTGGAAAGAAGGTAGATCTTGGGTGTCACGAGTCCAGCTCCTTGCCGTGTACAAGTCTGGTTGTCAAGCCTCTCTGTGACGCTGATCCACAGATGGCAAATAAGTGATTTCTAGTTTTTTTCTTTTTTTGTTGCCTAATGAATGAGGATGCACCTCAGTTCCTATTCACCTTAATGGGCCTGGGCAAAGGGTCGGGTGGCAAGGGGGTGGAAACGGAGGGCAGGGCGATGTCTGTGAAGAGGACTCACCCCTGTGGCTTTCTGCTTAGTGTAGGCATATTTGTCCCGGGTCAGTCTTTCAAAACGGTAGGTGGGCGCGAATGTGATTTCTTCCTCCTCTGAAGCCAAACAGAACCCTGGTGTCAGTGTTGATTCGCCACAGTTCACACGTGACCAAATTCCCTTCTTCCAGCATAACCCTTCCCCGGGTAAGGATGTCAGGGAAAAGGGGAGACAGAATGACCGGAGGGCCCGGGAGCAGAGGGCTGCAGTTCTCACCGAAGTGCAGGAAAACCTTCTGCTCCTTCCTCTCCATCAGCAGCTGGTCGTGGAACAGGAGGTCCGTGTACTGCTGCTGCCTGATCTTCTGGACCATGGTTTCCGCCTCCTGGAGCGAGGACACGGCCAGGCCACAGGTGAGACACCTCCCCTCACCAACATGACGCGGAGGCTCATCGCCGCCCACCTGCCCGCTGCGCCAGGACCCGGAGCCCCTGATGCTGCCCCAGACCCGGGCCCGGGGCTGCCAGGTTGGGGCTTCGTGGCGCTTAACCATTGTGTAAGGAAGCCCTGCAAGAGTAGTGAAGGATCAGCCCAATAGTGTGTGCTCCTGGCCGCTCCAAACTTGCAGAGGGACAGTTTACCTTTACATACTGACTTTTACTATCATTTTTATTAATACCTCACTGGATAGGTGGGTATGTCTGTCTCGCTCTCTGTGGCACCGACATAGCCTGTAGCAAAGGCCACAAAAGGATTCGAAGCCCTACCCCTGAATCTGTGGGCATCGGGCTCCCTGATCCCAGCTTGGACTCTGAGAGACGGTGTGTATCAGTGGGACGCTCTGGCCTTGGATCCCACAGTCCTCTCTCCTCAAACTTATGTCCCCTCTGCTCTGGCCAATGCCCTTGACCGACCTCCTGGTGAGTGGCTCTGACAGCCCATCAGACTGTGAAGGGCCAGCGTTTGTGTGCCCTGTCCACCTGTCTCCCACCTGCCTCCTTAGTCTGAAGAGCATCTTGTGAGGGAGGAAAAGCCATGGGGCAGCTGAGACAGGCACAACCAGGCCCCAAGCTCCCCCTCAGTGGCTGTAGAGCCAGTGCGGCACAGAGGGCCATGGGACACCTGGGGAAATATCTGGGAGGGGGAGTCAGAAGGCCTGAATTCAACCCCAACTGCCAGCGATCTGGGACTAACCCATGGCCATCTCCTCAGCCTGCCTGTGCCCTGGGTTCTCTCTCTGTAAAATCGGTCTGTTTTGGCCTCTTTGCTTCTCTCTCATAGGCTGACCCTGTGGAGCCACTCGGCATCCCTGTTACGGATTTGCACAGGCTGGTAACCCAGGTCTCTGGGTAGGAGGCACGGTTCTGTCCCCAGGCTTGTGCGTCCCCTTCCCAGGGACTCCCTCCCTGAGTGAGCAAGGCCGTGTCTGCACCTCGAGGGCCCTCTGACTGCTGCACACTGGACCACAGGGATGTCTTCCTCGGGCTGGCTGGAGACGCATGCATGGGGAGGAAACAGTGCCTGCCTCCTTGGGGCTGCTGCTGGCCAGCTAAAGGCCCAGACCAGAGCAGCAGAGTGGTGATGAGAAGGGGTGGCCAGGATGGCTGTGTGGAAGGAAATGTGAGCAGAGGTGAACCGTTAGGAAAGGCGGAGGCTCCAGCATCGAGTCCCAGCAGGAGAGCAGCTTCCCTGGCCTCACGCGGTCTGTGTGCCTCCAAAGCCTTCTGACCTGAGCTGATTCAAAGGAGCCCCAGCCCCAGGTGGACGGATCCTTACTCAGGTAGGTAGCTCCTCACCTAGGTGGGCAGCCCCAGTTGGACAGATCCTTACCCAGGTGGGCAGTTCCACGCGGTAGTTGAGATCCCCAAGCCAGAAGAGGTGGGTAAAGCGGTGGGTGATGTTAAAGGGACTCAGTTTCTTGTCTCCCAGAGCCAGAAACCGGAGAATGTTCATATAGTTTTGGTTTCGCCTAATCAAACAAAAGAGCAGCCATCTTGTATGGGGTTGTCAGTTCCCTCCTCCATCATGGTGAGCAGCAGGGGTGGGCACGGGGGAGCTGAGACAAATCCCAGCACCTGCTGACGTGGACCACCTTTATATGCAGGTGCGCATGGCTGGGCCTGGACAGGATAGGGACCCGGGCAGCCTGCACTCAGCAGGGAATCAGACCCATGATCATTCCAGGTGGATGTCTTCATGACTGGGCCACCACCGGGCAAAATGGGCTTTATCTGTAAGGGTGCCCTGGAGGAGGCTTTTCCCTTTAGAAATGGAGGGGTATTTAGGTGTCTATTAGAGTAATGACACGAGGAAATGTCTGCTCTGTCCTTCAGACAAGATTCACTCACAATGGGAGGCCACTGTGTGCTACAATCGCCCTTAATGAGACCACAGGAAAAGGCCTTAGGGGCTGGCAGGAGGGTCCCAGCAAAGGCTGACAGCTACGGTGTTTAAGGGCGTGAGTCTTTCTGGGCAAATAGCCTCATTTCAGGCTCTCAGGGGATGAGCTCCATTACCTGAGTTTCTTCTCGCTTCCGGAAGTCAAGTGGCTGTTAACAAATCCCAAGGAGGTTCCATTGAACATGAATGACACACCCACAGCTCCCTTGTTCCCTAAAGGGAGCGGAAAAGGAATAAGTCAGAACATCAAAAGGCAAACTGGCTAAACGGTGGGGAATCAGGGTGAAGCACGTTATTAATACAGGAGAGAAGTGTGGGAAGAGAAGGGAGAAAGCGGACAGCTTCCTTTGGGGCAACGACGGGGAGATGTGGCAGGTGATAGGGACTGGGGGTGAGTCCTCAAGGACAAGGGGGCTTCCATCACCCCACATGCCACGTAGAGCCCCAGGCTAGGTGGCTGACCTTCCCCGCCAGCTAATTCCAGGCTCCCAATGAGACCAAAACCCACACTGGGACCACTTCCCTTCCCGTCAGAATTGTATCGCCTCTAGACCAGCAGTTCTCCAAGTGTGTTTCTCAGCCAGGCAGCAGCACTGCCTGGGAACCGGCTGGCAGAACAAGTTCTCAGGCCCAGCCCTGCATCTGCTGAATCAGAGATTCTGGGCTGGGGCACAGTAACCTGAGCTTAACAAGGCCTCTAGGTCAGAGGTAGGCCTGCAGCCAGCCAACTAGGGCTTTTACATTTTTAAAGAGTTGGAAAATCATCAAAAGAAGAATATTTTCTGACACATAAGAATAATATGAAATTCAAATTTTAGAATCCATGTATAACCTTTTTTGGAACACAGCTACCCCCATAGGCAGAGTTGAGTAGTTAGTTATGTCAGAGACCACATGCCCTGCAAAGCCTGAAGTATTTACAATGTCTTTTAGAGAAAAAGTTTGCCAACTCCTGCTCTAGTGGATTCTGAAACATGCTGACATCTGAGAACCTGCTCCGTGCAACACAGTAGCTCTGAGCAGGACGTACTGAGCACCTGAAATGTGGCTGGTCCACACTGAGATGGGCTGTAAGTACCAAAGACACACAGGAATTACAAGCCTCAGGAAGGAAATCAGGATGTAAAATATCTAACAACTTTTTACATTGAATACCCATTGAAATGGTAATATTTTGAATGCATGTAGCTTGATAAAATACGTCATTAAAAGTTGACTTCACCTGTTTCCTTTCACTTTCTTCAATGTGGCTGCCACAAAATGTAAAATGGCCTGTGTGGCTGACTCTGGCCTGGACAGTGCTGGGCAGAGCGTGAGGGAAGGAGGCTGGGAGATCATCCGGTTCTGCCTCCTCGGAACTTGAGGGGAGCCGCAGCCTCCTGGCCGTGGCAGAGCTCAGAGGGCCTCCCGCACCCCGGCTCTCACTGTCACTGGCCCGGCCACAACAGCCCTGCTCCTGCCTCCTTCCCATTCAGCAGCGGGGCCTGGTTTAAGTCCCTGCCTCCCACTTCTGGCCACTGGCCTTGGGCAGGTGAAGGTACATCCCTGTAGCCTCCAATGTCTTATCTGCTATCGACAGTCCCTGCCCCACAGGTGTTCACCTTAATGAGATAATATTTGCAAGGCATTCAGCGCATGGCCCTGCGCAGGGTACATGCTCAGGAATGTCCTAGATCTTCCTAGGACCAATGTCCCAGCAGCCAACGACCATTTGCTAAGCTCCTGCCCTGTGTTACCCATGCCTGAGAGCCATCTGGGACAGTGAAGGGGTGGAGGTAAGCTCCGAGGGGTGGGGGTGGAGAGGCACAATGCAGGTTCTGACTCAGTGGGTCTCAGGGGGAGCCCAACATTCTGTGTCTCCACCAAGATCCCTGGGGACCAGTGCTGCTGGCCCACAGACCCCACCTTGAGTCTCAGGGATCTTGCACAGGGGTCGACAGACCTGCTGTAAAGGGCCAGACACTAAATCTTTTAGGCTTTGTGGGCCATATGCAACCCCTCCATGCTGCCGTCCTGTAACAGCAACTGTAGACATGAACATGAGCGAGAATGGCTGTGTTCTGTAAGCTTTACTGACAAACACACCATGGCTCAGTCTGGTCCACGGGCTGTAGACTGTCGGTCCTAGTCTACGTCTGCAATGACTCAGGTCACTAGGGGTCTGCACATGGGAACTCCGGGGCCTCCGAGCTGCCCTCCAGCGACTGTAAAACTCAGCCTCTGCCCAGGCCTCCTGCCTCCTTCCCTGGCCTTGCCCCCAACACCCACTAGAGCCACAGTCCAGGGGCCTCGGGGCCTTCTCTTCGCGGTTCCTGCTGTGTGGAACACTCTTCCCGGGCTGACCCTTCCTCACCCCTCAGACCCAACTCCCTCTGAGCCGCTCAGGAAGGCCCTTGATCCCCCGTCTCAAGTAGTGCCTGGCACCCCTGCCGCACCCACACTCCTCTGTCACCCTGCTCACTTTCGGACACCTTCTCATTGTCTGCCTGGGGCCCTGTCTGCAGAGGTAACTAACCCAGGGCCCACTGTGCCAGGGGGCACACAGCTGCTCCTCCCCATGTAAAGAGCTGGGGCTGCAGCTGGAAGCGAGGTCCAGAGGGGCGTGGCCTCATCTTGTGATGGGAGTTTTGGGCATATCAGGTGCTGCTGGAAGGGACCAGTGAGGGGGAGGCGGGCAGCCTAGGCAGATGGAACAGGACTAGGAGGGTCCTGGGCAGCAGAAGGGCATGGCTTTGCACAGGGCAACTGCAGGGACAGGAAGGAAGGAGGGACGAGTGGGTGTGGACATGGGCAGGTTGCATTGTCAGCAGAAAAGCTGAGAGAGCTTTTCACATCCAACTGTGGCAGTTCTTCCATTTCCTGTGATCTCTGGGGCTCTGTCCTGTCCGACTCCAAACACCAGAACCTTCTGGCCTGCCCCTCAATGCCACCCACGGCCCTGTGTGGGTGCTCCTGCGGCCACACACTCAGACACACACACACACTCCCACTCCCACTCTTACTTCAATTCTCTGGAGCACCCGGACTGGTCCCCACTGGCTCACAGCTGATGCCAGGGTTTCCACCACCTAACCTGAGACACTGCAGACCTAGACTAGGACCGACAATCAACAGCCCGTGGACCAGACTGAGCCATGGTGTGTTTGTCAGTAAAGCTTACAGAACACAGAATTCTCGCTCATATTCATGTCTACAGTTGCTGTTACAGGACGGCAGCATGGAGGGGTTGCATATGGCCCACAAAGCCTAAAAGATTTAGTGTCTGGCCCTTTACAGCAAGTCTGTCGACCCCTGTGCAAGATCCCACACACTCAAGGGGAGACTCAAGGTGGGGTCTGTGGGCCAGCAGCACTGGTCCCCAGGGAGCTTGGTGGAGACACAGAATGTCGGGCTCCCCCTGAGACCCACTGAGTCAGAACCCGCATTGTAGGCAGATCCCCAGAGGCACTGGTGTAGACCCTGGGTGAGTTTGGGCTGGGGAACCAACCATTCTGGTTTGCCCAGGACTGAGGGGATCCTGGGACAGGAAACAGTTTTTCACAACGGCCATGTGAGGGTAGGCAGGAGCTTGCTCTGGAGAATAGCCCCACCCCACTCACCGAGTGTGTTGGCGATGCCGGTCTTCACGTTGTCAGTGCAGATGTGGCTGATCCGGTTCTCATGCTCCGGCTTGGCTAGCACCACGATACGGATGTTCCAGAGGGTGTGGATAGCGATCTGGTAGGGAGGACAACACTGTGACCCTCAGCCAGGGTGTCGTGCCTGACCCCAGGGCAGGAGAGTCCCACCCAGTCCTGAACCTGCGGGGGCAGGGTACCCTATCTGTAATCCCTCAACCTCAGGGTGACTCCTGACAATGCCTCCCAATAAGACAAAGTATCTTAAAGACGAGGGCCAGGACCGACAAGATTTCATTGAGGGTCATCTACAAGCACAGGAAGAGAAGAGGGAGGGCCCCAGTGACCCCCGCTACGGCCAAGGACTCCATCGATTTCTGAATACAGGTGTACCTCTCTGACCCTGGAAGGTGCAGGCAGGGGAACCACTGAGCACCCAGGCATCTTTGGGAGCCAAGAGCCAGTAGGCCGAGTGCACCCTTGCCTCTGAGATGCTCCTGGCCAGCCTTGCAAAGCCCGCTGCCCCAGAGTCCCACCCAGGGCTACGGCCAGCTGCTCACTGTTTTAAAAGTCATGCTGGTGATTTCTTGCAGGGAGTGTTTGAGTATCTCCAGCCACTCCTTCTCTCCAAGGGGGTCCTCCTGGGTGCCAATTACGTAGATATCGTGGGGGATGTAATCGGCAGAGTCATCTCGAGTCTTTCCCTGCCCCTTGGAGAGAAACCAGGACGTGATCTTCTTGGGAGGGGGGGCGTTACCTTCAACAGCAAAACCCAACACCAAGTGAGTCAGAGATACATCAGGAGAATTCAAAACATAGGTGGGGGAAGCGTGGGAGATGGAGAGGCGCACAGTCACTGAAAATTGTTCAGGGCCCCAATGGAGTACTTTACATGGGGAACTAGGGTCTATTATCCCCCAAGATGTCAGACAGGGTCAGAACTCAGATAGGTTTCTTTGTAAACAAAACATAGTCAAGTTTCAAAGATCAGAAACACCCAAAGATTCCATATGGCGACTTCAATGAGTTGCGCAGAATGTTAAACTATCCTATTCTTTGGGATACGCTGGCAGCTGAGACTGCCCTAGAGGAATTCACAGTCCGTGGGCGCGAGACAGCCAGTAGGCAGATGGGTTTAGGATGGAGGCTTCCTCATCAGAGAGCTCAGCCCAAACCTGGGAGCCTTGTGGCCTGTGCCAGAGGAACAGAAAGGGCGTGGAGGCCCCCTTCCACTCCCATTTTGAAAAATAAGATGAAGTAGCTCAATAAAGAAATGATGCAAGATTTATTTCTCCTTGAAACACCCTTGAAGGTTGAATAAACATTTTTCCCCAGAGGACAACCTTTTTGGCCACAAGTGCCCCGAAGACAAGAACTGAAGTAACATGACCATTGCTGAGTTCTGCTCCCCTCTGTAGCTCACAGTGGGAGCATAAGCCCGGGTCACCTGTGCTTTCTGCTTGGGGAGAACCTCCCACACCACCCTGGTACACCAGGGTCCCGGTCAGCTCCTTGTACACTGTCTTTTGCAGGAAGGGCGCCCCCTGAAGTTGTGCAAGAGGACAGCTTTAACCATGTCCAGCCCACTCTAAGAATTCTGTGCTCGTGGAGGAAAAAACGGAAAGCGGCCTTGTGTCACATGCATGAACCCTGAGTGTGAGAGCTGACGAAATCAGGAGGCCAAAAAGAAACACTGGGAGGACAGAAAAGGACACAGGAGCCTGGGCACAGGCCAGGGTTCTGCTGCAGTACAGCCATAGCGCCTGCAAGGCTTGCGGAGGGCTGGTAGCCGAGGACTCAGGGCCACAAGCTCTTCTGCCTCCCCTCCTGGAAGCGCGGGCTATGCTCCACTCAGCCAACGGGCTAGGGGTGGCATATAGCGTTTTTATTTCTTGACTGCTCCCTTCACGAAGGCTGCAGCTCCCCCTTGTCTCCCCAGGGCTAAAGGGAAATTACCGGCCACAGCAACAGGGGCCTAGGCCGGACTCCGCTCCCAACCAAGTGCGGGAGACAGATGCCCAGTTCAATTCAACTTTCAGAGCAACAGTGGATAATTTTTAGAATGTGTCCCATGTAACATATATTTACCTAAAATTCAAATTAACTGGACATTCTCTATGTACTTATTTTTTTATTTCTAGCTAAATACACTAAATAATTAATATAATTTATATTTAATATATATAAGCACATATATATTTAGTACAATTTATATTCAGTATATTTATATATTTAGTATTAGTATATAAATTTATATAGCATATGTATTTAGTACGTATTTATTTATTTCTAGCTAAACCTATACTAAAAAATTACTTGTGTTTGTATGAAATTCAAATTTAACTGGGAATCACTTCTTTCTGTCTCTTTCAATAAATCTGACAGCCCTACTTGGGGAGGGAGTTCTTTCTTCCCAGCCTGAGGCCGCTTGGTCAGCTGCCTAAGGCTGGCAGGTACCCAAGTGTCCCTGCACCTATTTGTTTAGACCCTTTACTAAAATGTTCCAGATTAGACTTGCAAAATAACCCACTGCAACTCTCTTGGGGTATGAGAATCCCAGAGCTCATTTCTCTTGCCCATTGTCTCAGGAAAGGTGGGGAATTCTTGAGAAAGGAGGCTGCACAGATGGGCTGAGGATGCCTGAGGCAGCAAAGCAGAGCCCTGGGGGAGGCGGGGAAGGGGCTGGTAAGGACCTACCCATGTTCCAGGTGCCGATGAAGATGGTGATCATGTCAGGCTCCGGCTGCTCCGAGTGCTTGTTTTTCATCTGCTGGAGAAGTTGGCAGAAGCCTTCTCTCTTCTAGGGATTGAAGGGCAGACAGACTCAGAAAGACCTCTGCCTCCCTGCACATGACACTTTGAAAGGACTTGGTCAGCCTCAAGAAAACTGAGAGGAGCGCGAATCAGTACGAACTTCCAGGAGGGCACTCCAGAAATCTGGGTCCGAAGTCTGAAGAGGCTGCTTCCCTTCCACCCAGCCATTGCTCTGTGAGGACCCGACTCTAAGAAATTACCAAGAACCAAACAGACACCCCACCATATCCCGGGGACTGCAGCACATTTCAATACAGAAAAAATTGGAAACAACCTTAATACCTAACCTTAGGAGATGATTTCATAATTGTATTATGGGCCATCCATATGCTAGAATACCACAGGGTTTGAAAATTTTGCGTGCAGAAATACTTTACTAATAAGGATAGATGGTCAAAATACATTAAGTATGGAGAGTTGGTTGACAAAAACAGTACAAATAGTATCATTGTATTTTTATATGTAAAAAACAAACAAAAATCCTCCTGAAAGGTATAGTCTAAGGTTAACCAGTGGTATACAGGTGCTTCTATTTTAAACTTTTTGCTTATTTGTATTACATTTTCGCTCATGAAAACAGGTTACTCACGTAATGAGAAGAACATTTAGCTTAAAGAAACTAAGAAGCAAAGAACACAGGAAGCCTGTCCCGGCCCCTTTAGTAGTCTCCATTTAGTAGTCTGGGTACCACTGGGCCACAGAGCAGACCCGGCCCTCTCGTGGTTCACAGACAAGCAGGGCAGGCGGACTCAGCAAGCATGCACATCTTAGGTTGTGCCGTATGGGACTATCAAAGTTTGCCTGTTTCAGACTTCCAGCGACAGCAATTTCTTATGATTCAACCTAATAATTGCAAATCCCATTAAGTTCCCTCTGAAAAAACCAGCTTAGAAAAATGTTATGAAAGCTGCCTTTATGGAAACCCTAGTAGGGGTGGCTCAAAATTCAGTGCCTCAGTTTATTGCCGTGGCTAATCCTTTTGAGTTCCCAGCAATAGGTGGAACTGGTTTTTGGACTTACGCCCATATGCCTAGAATGATGCCAAGCCAGGCCTTCTTTCCCTCCACCTCCCACCGCCTGTCCTGTTTCTCCTCCAAGCCCCTTTTCATATCATTCCTTCACGTCCTTCCCAGCCTCCTCTGGGCATCCTGGGGCCTCCACCAACCTGCTCCTGCCACTTTGCCTATAAGGCAGGTGGGGCCCATACCCGGAGCCTCTGTCCCTCAGCTTTGCCATGGTGCTGGAGCACCGTCAGCCAACACCTGACGTTGGGAGACCTTGTGTCTTGTCTCATATGAGCCGCACTCTAGAGGATAAACCGCAAGACCCTGACAGTGGGTTTCAGCCCTGGTTGGCATGTCAGAGGTGAGGAATCAGGCCACAGAGAACCCTGCCTCTGGTTGTACAGAGGCCCACTGTGCCACCTAAAGACCCCGAGTCTTTCCCGCTGCCCTCACCACCTCCCACTCCACAAGCCAGGCTCTGCAGGGCATCTCACTTTTAGACAGTGGGCCCCATGGGGACGTGGAGGGAGCACTGGTTGGGCTCAGATCTAAATGCAGGGTGCCCAGGAGGGCTGGCAAGTCCAGCCGAGAGAAGCTAAAAGCCGGCCAACAGCTGGGGCTGGCTAAGACACGTTGACAAACGATGCACCCTCGCAGGCAGTGCGGCAGGGGTGACAACAGAGCTGGGACTGCTCGAACCCCAGCTGGCCCGGGCTGTGGGGAGCCGAGTGAGCCGGGATCTCAGCAAGCCTCAGAAAAAGGGTGCTCCTCACGCCCTTCATGGCTGTCTCAGTAGTTGACTGTCACTTACTTTGGAGTCAGCAAAAACGTACTCCTTCCGCAAGATCTTCTCCTTCTCTGTTTCCACCAGAATCACCAACTTGTTCAGAAACTTCTGAGACTTGATGAGCTGCAGGACTTCAGAGAAGAGGACGCTCATTTATCCACTCATCAGCTGATATGAACAATCTCCATACATTCTGGCTTCTACTTTCCCGCCTCCAGGCCGAACACCAAATTTTTGCTTAGTCCCCCAGGTCCCTTTGCCCCTGGCTGCTCTTCCGGGGAGGGGCTCATGCCTTGGGAAGGGTGGTGCCTGAGAAAGCAAGAAGCGGCCTGGCCAGAGAGAGACAGCGTGACTGGCGTGTCCCCTTCCTTCTCTTTCTCTGTCTCTTTTACTTCTGCCAATGATTAAAAGACTCAAGTTATTCTACAAGGTTTTTACAAATGACAGCACCTCTCAGTCCCACCTCCTGAGAGGCAACCACTTTCAACCTTCTTAATGGATTCTTCTGGAATTTTATTCTGTGTCTCCCAATGACATGCTTACCTTACAACTTCCTGGTGTTTTATTTGGGATATTTCCTATTCCACATTGACTTCCCACTATGGAAGATGAAGGCTTAGCCCTTTCACACATACAACTTGCCCCTTTCTCACCACTAGTCTCCCCCTGCCAATGAGTATTTTCAGTCCCCTCATCACCCTTCAGATTATATCATCATTTTGGCTGGGTAAGCTTCCAGCGTCTGCTACTGCGACTAGGGAAACGCTGCTGATTGCTCTCCTTTTCCCACACAACTTTTTGTTTTACCTGGAGTTAATAATTGCCATGATTTTTCAGTGGTCCCAACTCTTGTCAGTTTGTAACCCTTCTCCATGTGATCAAGCACCTTCACCAGCTTCGCCATCCTGAGGGACCCTCTCCCAGGGTCTCTGGACCTTCCCTTCTCCAGACCGAAGGCCCTAGTCCTGATGCAAAGCCATTGCCTTACGGCTTTCCCTCCCCACCATCCAAAGTCCATGCACCTCTCTCTCTTGGATCAGATCCCATGCCTTCCTGGTTCTTGGTTTACGCCCTCATTTTGGTAGAGCAACATCTCCAGTAGCCTTCCAAGAGGGGAATGAGTGATACATTTCTGGAGGCCTCATATGTCTGACAACTCTTCCCTCACAGTTCACTGACAGAACTCTAAATTTGGAATAATTTCCCTCAGGACTCTGGGTACGTTGCTCCATCATCTCTAATTTGTGGCACTGCTCCTGAGAAACTCAATGTCATTCTGCTCCACCTGCCTGCAGAAGAAAGGCAACATGCAGGCCCGACTGCTACCCTTGGGAAGGCTGCCTACAGGTGGTCCTTGGCTGGCATCTAGGAACTTGGATTTGGGAGGGTCCCCAGGATTTGCAGAACTGATAAGAGTAGCTCACTGTGTCCGCACCATTTGTCCCAACAGCATGGTTTATGCTGAACTCCAGCTTTCCTCCTGGGAGTCTGGAATTTGGGTACAAGCCAGGCACAGGGTGCCTGTGTGACCAGCCCCCAGGACGAACCCTGGGTTCTGAGTACCTAATGAGCATCCCTGCTGGACAACATCCCATATGTCATCCCGGCTCATTGAGGGAGGAATTAAGTGTGTCCCATGTGACTGCTTTGGGAGAGGGCTCCTGGAAGTGTGTACCTGGTCCCCCTGGACCTCACCCTGCACACCTTCCCCTTTGCTGTTTTGCTTCATGTTCTTTCACTGTAATAACCTACAGCTGTACGGCTCTAGGCTGAGCCCTGGGAGTTCCCCTGGTGATCACTGAACTTGGACATGCGGCCCCTGACACAGTCTGTAATCTGCCTTTTGCTTTGAAGTTTTCAGGACCTTTTTTTTGAAGCCAGTTTTGTTACACTTTCCAATGTGCGTGCCTCAGGGTGGGACTATTCTCCTCCCTTGTGCCGGGCACTTGGTGGGCCATTTCAATCTGGAAACAGGTGTCATGCAGTCCTGAGAATTTTTCTTGAATTGTTTAACAAATTTGCTCACGGTTTCCCTGTTTTTTCTTACTAACATTTATTACTTTGGTATCAGACCTTCTAGACTGATCTCATTTAAAAAAATCTCTTCTCTCCTACTTTCCCTCTACTTTGTCCTTCTGTTCCACCTTCTGGAAGCTTTCCTCAACTTTCCACTTGGCCTTCAAGGTTATTTTTTTAAATTTCTGCTGTAAATTAAAACCACACTGAGATATAACCTCACCTCATACCAGTTAGGATGGCCACTATCCAAAAGACAAGAAACAACAAATGCTGGTGAGGATGTGGAGAAACGGGAACCCTCCTACACTGTTGGTGGGAATGTAAATTTGTTCAACTGCTGTGGAAAGCAATGTGGAGGTTCCTCAAAAAACTAAAAAGAGAAATACCATTTGATGCAATAATTCCACTCCTAGGAATTTATCGAAGAAAACAAGATCCCTGATTCACACACATATGCACCCCTATGTTTATAGCCGCATTACTTACAATAGCCAAGATATGGAAGCACCCTAAGTGTCTATCAATAGATAAATGAAGATGTGGTATATATACACAATTGAATATTATTCAACCATAAAAAGAAAAATCCTGCCATTTGCAACAACATGGATGGAGCTAGAGGGTATTATGCTCAGGTAAATAAGCGAGGTAGAAAAAGACAAGTACCAAATGATTTCCCTCATTTGTGGAGTATAACAATGATGCAAAACTGAAGGAACTAAACAGCAGCAGACTCACAGACACCGAGAAGGACTAGTGGTTACCAAAGAGGAGGGGCTGGGGGGCGCGGTGGGTTAAGAGAAGGGGATTAAGGGGCACTATAATTCACAATCACAATATAGGTTGGTCATGGGGAAGGTGGTACAGCACGAAGAAGACATTTAATGACTCTATAACATCTTACTACACTGACAGTGACCGCAGTGGGGTCACGTGTGGGGGTGAGGACTTGATAATATGGGTGAATGTTGAACCAGTGTTGTGTATGTGAAAGCATCATAAGATTGTATATCAATGATACTTTAATTAAAAAAAATTTCTGCTGTAGTGTTTTTATTTTTCCTTCTTCCCCTTTCCTCTTGCTTCCTCCTCTCCCTTCTTTTTTATTTTGTTCTCCGAAGGTTCCTTTTAAAATAGCATTCTTTTAATCTTTGCAATTTGTTTCCTCCAAGTTTTTGTCATTTTGCTTATTTTTGTCTTGAGTCTCTCACACTGTCTCCTGTTCCAGGCCTCCCTCCAATGCCTGTTCCTTGGCTGAGTGTCCCAGCAGTGCCAGGGGTGGGGTCTGTGGAGCAGGACTTCTCTGCTGGGTGATCCCATGCACTGCTTCATGGGGAAACCTCTTGATCTTTGCCCCTGGGCTGGTCACATGCTCCAGAGAGGAATCTTCCAGACTCCTGCCTGCAGGGTGTGGGCCTGGCTGGCAGCATCCAGGGGTCAGGGATGAAGGCTGGAGTCTCAGCATTCACAAGTAACCAGTACTTAGTTCTCTGTATTCTGCAGGTTCCTCTGCCCTCACCGGGCCTCATGTCTCCTAGTCTTTTACCTTCTCCAGAGAATAAACAGCCAGACTTCTGCCTAATGAGTGAAGGGAAGCTACTGGCCATGTGGAGTAGAGATACGGTGGGTCTAATTTTAAGAGATTTTCTGCTGAGCCTGCTGTGTATAACTTCACTTCACCCCCACTTCCAGGGGCCCCTGATGCTATCAATTCTTGTGCCTTTGTGGGTTCTGTGGTATGAGGCAGGTATCTCAGTTTTTCCTACTACATGCTTACAGTTTAGCTTTTTTGGTTCCTGTAAGCTGGTTTTCATTATCCATTATCCACCTGCTTTTCAGCATTCAAAATTTTGTTGCCACTGTTTTCTCCCTCATTCTCTTTGTCCCGAGTGTTGCCTTTAGGAAGGGAGGGATGAAAGGGTGTGTAGTGACCACGCTCTGGAGCCGGGTTATCTTCCCCAAGGAAGCCGACGTCCTGTGCGCTCAGAAACCCCAGCTGCCTTCCAGCGGCAGTAACTGTGCCACGGTGTGCTCCTTCCTGCTGCCGACCAGGAGGCCCCAAGACATTTCCATCTGACCCTGTAAGGCCCTATCTTCCTCCTGGCGAATTTCCTTGACAGCCATTTGCAAGACTGTACGGCTGCCCCCAGGATGTGACGTGTTACTTGATCAGGATTAGTGTTCTACTCGCCTGTCCCCACACCTAGGTAACAGAATCAGAAGCTCCTTTAGGGTGCCCTGCCCTTGGCCCTCTGTCTCACTCATCAGCAGGTAGGAGAAGTTCTACCTTCCATACATACCCAACCTGCCCAGCTCAAGCCCCCACCATCTCTTGCCTGGCTGCCGTCAGGGCCTCCATATCTCGGCTATTGTAAATGGTGCAGTGATGGTACCGATCCCTCCACCCACCTCCTTCCCTGTCTCCACCCACCCCTGCCATAATTTATTTTCAGCACAGCAGCCGGAGTTCATTTTAAAATGGGATCACACCACTCCCCTGCTCAAAACCTCCTACCAGGAGCTCACCGTGTTCAGCCCCACCTCCGCTAGCTGTACCCCCATAACTGCCCGATCTCTGTGCCACCTGTGCCCCCACCACCCTGGCCTGTGCCCGCCTTGGAGGGGTTTTGCATGGCCTGTACACACTGGTGTCAGCTCACCTGCTACTCCTCCACCATTGTCACACTGCCCTTTTTCATTCCCAGCCTCGAGTCTACCACCCCCTGACACTTTTCTGGTTCGTATGTTTGTAGACTTATTTATTTTCTCCTTGACCCTCACGTGAATGTGACCTCCCTGACAGCTGGGACCCCACCTGGCTTATGCACACCCCGCCACCAGCACCTGGCACACAGTGGCTGCTCAGTGAGTGAATACACAATCATCTCCTCATACAGCAACTGGCTTTTCCTACGGAGACCTTGATGCCAAGCTAGTAACGGCCAGTGACTGGAACAGGGCAAGAAAGCCCCAGTACCTGCAAGCAAAGATTCCCCCCAAGTGGGCAGCACTTAACATCAACCATGATTGGAAACTGACTGTGTGCCCTGACTAAGGACACCCCTCACCCACTAGCACTGACACTATCAGAACCTCCGTTTTATGGACGTGG